TGATACAGAAGATTTACAAATATCCAACTTTAGTAGGTGATGTCAAACTGTTTCCAAATGTTTGTACAATTATACACATCCCCTGGATAGGTAAGAATTCCTGTTAAACTACATTCTAGCCTATATCAGCATGATCCAGCTTTCAATTGTTCCCTCCCTTAGTCTTTTACATGTAAAAAAATATCAGGAGGCTTTTACTTTGAATTTCTGTGCTTACTAACCAGGTAGAATACATTTCTATGTGATTACAATCTGTTGTGTTTACCCTTCTGTGAAATGCCTATTCATTCTTTTGCCCATTTTTCTACTGTGTTGTTTGTCTTTTTCATGTACATATTAATCCTCTGTACACTATATGCATAATAAATGTTTCCTCAACTTGTATTTTAATATATTTATGGTTTGCTATTCACATTTAAGTCTTTAATCTACCTGGAATTGATTTTTGTGCATATATGAGTTATGATCCAATTTTATTTTTTATGTGAAACCAATTATCTCAGGATAAATTATTTAAAATGAAATTTAAAAATATACTCTTTCCAATGTTATCTACAAGGCCTACATTGTCATAAATCAAGTTTTCATATATACACAATTCTTTTCTGAGCTCACTTCTGCTCTAACATTTGTTTAACAATTTGTCAGTACTTACTGCCTTAGCTTTATAATAAATCTTAATGTTGGTATTTCTTCTTTATATCTTCATTCTATCTTCTTTGTTCTTCTTTTTCAGAATTACCCAAACTATTCTTGGTCATGTCTCAGTCTTCCATATAAATTTTAGACTCAGCTCATTAAATTCCATACAAATTCATATTGAGTTTTGGTTGGAATTGCATTTGAACTTAGGGAAAGCTTATATGTTAATGACATTGAGTTTTCCAATCATAAACATTGAATATATTTCAATTTAATTAGATTTTTAAAATGTGTTTCAATAGGATTTTACACTTACATTAAAAGTTTGCACTTTTTGTTGCATTTATTGCTAGGCACTTTAACAGTTTGATGTTATTTAAATGGAATATTTTATATTTGAATGATATTGCTTAATATATTGTTGCTGTTGAATGTAATTTAATGTATTTATATATTAATTTTGGATTGAACAATGTTGCCAAACTCTCTTATTAATTCTAATAATTGACATATACATTCTTATGGAATTTCTATGCTGACTATTATATTATCTATGAACATGTCTTCTTTTGTAATATGTACCCATTTTATTTCTTTCTTAATATTATATTGTGCTTTCTAGGATTTCCAATTAAAGGCATTCAATGGTTTTCTGTTAAACTGATGTAGGAGCATTCAATAGATTTACAAATATCCAAATTTAGTAGGTGATGCCGAACTGTTTCCAAATGTTTGCACAATTACACGCATACCCTGGATAGGTGAGAATTCCTATGAACCTACATTCCAACCCATATCAACATGATCCAGCTTTCAATTGTTCCCTCCCCTAGTACCACCTCTCTATATGCAGATCTATAAATGTGAATACAATACATACACACATGCATTACACATAATTCACATATATTCTCGATTATACATATAGTTAAAGATTTTGTACAGACACACAGGGTGAGGCAAAAAGGTAGGCTTACAGTTGTTCAATGGAAAATAATACAATAATTAATAAATAATAATACAAGAATAAGCTCTGGTATATTCACAAAACTACTTTTGCCCCACCATATATATATTTACTTACATGAAAATATGTTATTTCAATCTTCAATTATGATTATTTCAGTCAGATGCATTTAGAATATCTGCCACACTGTTGAGTACATAAGTCATCTTACATTTATAAAACGGCACATTCATATGTCATAATCTCAAAGGTCAAGTTTACGAACTAAGTAACATTGACTAGTTGGTTATAAAATAAGAATATAGTTTAGTTGCCATCAGTACTTGTTCATCATTTTAAAGCCAAGCAAGGCAAACTCTTTCCAAAAGTTGACCTTGCCAAGTAATATCTTTTCATAGTACTCAATAAGAATGATTATTTGAATTTGTATTGAAACTATATCTGCATTTGTTACCTTGATACCCTTGCCTGTTCTTTGTAACAATTAGGTCAGCTCTATCTTGACTGTACAGCTAAGACAGAGTCACTAAATGACTTGAAGGCCAGAGAGCAAAAGAGGGATAAAGCTCAGCCAGCCTTCCTGGTTCTTCAAGTGCAGGCCATTCCCCACTTCAGCAGTGCTTACCTTTTGAGCATAAGAGTTTTCTAACTAACTTTTTTTTGTATAAACAATTAATTGCTATGTATAGTAGTTCTTTTATCATATTATAAGAAAATAAATCTCTACTACAAGTTCTAATTGCAAAGTGGGCTTGTAAAGTGTGAAATGTTTTCAGCATAGCACCTAATCCAAATGCTTCAATTTCCAACTCATCAACTTCTTTTAACCCCGTGTACAATATTGAGCCACCTTTCATTTCCCTGTACCCTGTGTAGCTTCAAAGAAGGCAATTTGATCACCGGTCTATTAGACACATATGCACATCACAAATAGGCAAGAATTTCAAAAAAGAAAAAAATGTCCTTATGCTTGGAGAGCAAAGGTCATTCACTCAAAGACAATATACTGTACATGTGTTATTTATATGTCACCATTTTTTTACTGCCCTTCAATGAAAAACATCTTGTTACCATAGCAACTTCCATATTGCACACTATCTTTGAGACTACTACATCATTGCACTAGACACACAGAAAGACATTCATATCCTTAAGTCATTTTCAAGTCTGTCATTTTCATAAAGTTTAAAGAAAAATAATGTATGTGTGTTATTCTTTTTTTTTTTTGCTTTACAACCACTTGATTTAGCAAGAACCCATTTTTTCATTAATTTTTAAATTCCAAAGAGAATATTGGCATTTATATTTCACTGTGCATTAAAGGGAGAAGCAGACAACTAAGCAGTTTAATAGAAAAAGAATTGAGATCTGACTTTTATGGCCACATCACATCCATTAGTTTTTACATTGAGCTCATATCCTGTCACAGTGGTGGCATGTCACTGGGCCATAATGTGCTGTTGAACATATATGTTCCCATTCTTAAATGCAGACTTTAGACATGTGCCTCCTATCTTCTGCTTAATCCCCATTTTGCAATAATTGTCATCATGTTCCACTGACAAGACATATCTTGACCTGAAAAAGTACAGTAGAAGTGTGTTGCCTACAAAATCTATTTGGGTCATAGCTAATAGCTATTAGGGTCATTATAGCTAATAGTGGAAAACTAGTAGTGGAAAATTCTACTAATAAAATTAACTAATAGTAATTCTTTCTGATATGCCAAGGACTGTGTTAGACCTTCATCCATTATCTATTTCAATTCTCAGCTGATTTAATAAAATTGACAGTATTTTTATGTTCTGTTCTAGTCAGTAAAACTGAGGTTTACAAGGATAATTTCCCCAGGATCCAATACCTAGCAAGTGGCAGGTGTGGGTCTCCTTCTTACTCATATCTTACTCTGACCCCCAAGCACAAGCTGTGTTATGTTGAGTTCTCACTGGATAGGCTGGTAGAAGTTCTTTTTTTTTTTTAAGAAAAAAGGAACTTTTAATTTTTATTACATTTTAATAATAATTTCTTAATTTATTTTAAAAGTTCTGATACTTTTAGGAGAAAAATCCTGTGAAATCACAACAATGAAATGTCAAAATTAAGTATTTATAATATAAACTATACTCAAATCAGATAAAACAGCCCTGATTCCACTCCACATATTCCCTTGTAATTCTAAGAGTCCTTTCTATAATGCTTTGAATTATTAATTTAAAAACTATAATGATCATGATAATAAGCTCATTCTACCTAGTGCAATTGTTATGGGGTCTTGGATTTTTTAAAAAAGTATTTGCTACTACCACTCAAACAACAAAATTTCAACATGAGGTGGAAATGAGTTTAGGTAAGTTAACATAATAGGGCCCCAGGATCCCCTATATTACCTCACCAGAGCTCCAGGGACACCAACTCTGAGATGACATTTTGGTTCGGAACACACTGTAAAACTAACTCATAATCTCTGACAGTGGAACATCTGTGTGCATATGCTATCTTCTATAAATTGCCATTGCAAACTCTATTAATGTCACTTGATTATAAATGCAGATATAAGGGAATCAGGAAATGAGACAGTTGAGATTCACTAATGCATACCCACAGGGTGTAAGCACCCTTGACTACAAGTAGACGATTAAAACTTCTGAGCTGAAAATGATGTGGAGTAAAAAGGTAGCACTTCATGTATTTCAAATTCTTCTTTGTTTATGTACATGTGTGACCCTAACAATAGACTGATTGAATTATTTTGATTTAATAAGTAAATGATTTTGATTTCATATTCAAAGCCTTAGTTGAGCCTGTTATAATTTGTATAAATTACTTAACAATAAAAATATTTTTAAAAATATTTCTTAAAATAATAAAAATATTTTCCGTAAAGATTTTATTTATTTACCTTTTTTCAGAGAGAAGGGAAAGGAGAGAGACAGAGAGTGAGAGGAACATCAATGTGTGAGAAACACAGAGATCGGCTGCCTCTCACATACCCCCAGCTGGGGACCTGGCCCACAACCCAGGCATGTGCCCTGACTGGGAATAGAACTGGCCACAGTTCAGTTTGCAAGCCAGTGCTCATTTCAATGAGCCACACAAGCCAGGGCAAAATATTTTGAGTTCCTCCTTGGGTATGGGATACTGTACTATGCCTGTCACATAAATTATTCCTATTTCCCATAGTACTGTTACTAAAACAGGCACAGAGAGGTGAATAGATTTGCTGACAGTCACCCAGCCAGAAAGATATTAAGTTGAATATCTTTCACCTAATATCAAGTGGAATTAGAATTGAGTACTGGAAATTCCAATGTACTTTCTCTTTTTGAAAATAAACTATTTTTATATGGATATAACCTGGGCTAAGATTTTTGTTTCTTTTTAAAAAAATTTTATGGGCAGTGACCATGGCTGTCCCTGCATCTGTCTCTTGCTTCAACAGGGTTTGGACAGAACGGACCCAGAGACACCCCTCTTCCAGCCTCTACCACCCTCCAGCCTTTTTTATAGTCCCACCTTCAGAACCATCTCAGCCATCCTAAGCCTTGAGACCAACCAACACTCTTTTTTTACCTTAGCTCCTCATTGCCAAACAACCATAAGCTCCCAGATTTGTTGGAATTATTCCACCCAGGAGGAGGCTCCTGTCAACCCCCTGGTCAACCTGCATCTGAGGCCTCCTATACCTACTTCCCTGGGCCTTTATTTACACCATCATGATGCGGTCCTGGAGGGCAGGGGCCACCTCTTCCAGGAGTTGGCTGAGAAGAAGCACGAGGGAGCCCAGGGTCTCTTGGAGCTGCAAAACCAGCCAGCACATGGGACATGCAGGAGCTGTTCCATGATGAGTGGTGTGGGACTCGGGGTGCCACGGAAGATCCCTTGGTCCTGGAGAGGAACATGAACCAGGCCCTTTGGGATCTACATGTCCTGGGTTCTGCCTGCACAGGCCCTCATCTCTGTGACTTCCTGGAGAACCACTTCCTGGATGAGAAAGTGAAACTCATCAAGAAGATGGGTGACCACCAGACTAAACTCTGCATGCTGGCCTGGCCACAGGCTGCCCTGGGCGAGTGTCTCTTCCAAAGGCTCACCCTTCAGCACCAAGAAGAGTCTTGGAGCACAGAGGCCTTGGTGCCCCCTACATTCCCCTGGTGTCTGACTTTTTCATGAGGCCATCCCCAAAACATCTAGGCAGCAATTTAATCACCCTAGAGCCCATTCCTACGCATTGGATCAAATGGAAACAATAAAGCTTTTTGCAGAAAAAATGCTTTAAAAAATAATAAAAATTTTACTTCATAAGTACCTGCCTAAGCAACTTCTGAACACTTTTGCAAATCAATTAAATGATTATAACTGAATCTATTTGTTTCCAAAAGGTTAATCTTTCAGGAATCATTAAGTGACTCAGAGATACTAAAAACTGTTTTAATCACATCCTGAAGGAAATTATCATTTCTTCTATACATCTAGAATGAAGTAGAATAATTATTGTAATAATTTAAGTTAAACATAAAATAAATTTACTTTTTAGCACTCATCTTCTTCAGAAGAATATGTTCTTTTGTAATGAATTATGTAAATTATTGCTTCTACATTACTAGCAACCAAAGTTTCACTTTAAAAACTAGCTATGAAACTTCTGAATGAAGTAATGGTAAGTGCAAATGCATAGTTAAAGCCAGTCTGATTTCTTTGAGCACCTGGGCAAGGTAGTTAGTGCAGGGAGGCCTTTGGGATTCCAGTTGCATTAGTTTATCTTTGGAAGGTGTTCTTAAGGGGCTGGCACATAGAGATATGTATACCCAAACACAATGTTCCATTGTAGAGTAGGCTATTTTCCTCTTGAATTTGTTTTTCTCTGAATGAGCAATTGAAGTAAATAATGACTTGGTAAACTGGCACATTTATGAAATATTTATTTCATTAAATTTTAGCAAATATGCTGAAAACTGTGACATAATGTACTCATTGTAATGCATGCATACATAGTTTAGTTTACCTCTGAAATCTTTCTACAAAGTTCATCTTTAGTCTGATACTGTACTACAATACTATAATATTTGGGTAAATACCTAGGACTTATAACCATAAACATAGGATAATTATAGATGTATGTAAATAGAGGGTAATGACAGATGAAGTACTGTTTGTAAAAGTTTAGTAATAAGAATATCTATCATCCTGGCTGGCGTAGCTCAGTGGATTGAGCTCGGGCTGTGAACCAAAGCATTGCAGGTTCGATTCCCAGTCTGGGCACATGCCTGGGTTGCAGGCCACAGCCCCCAGAAACCACACATTGATGTTTCTCTCTCTCTCTCTTTCTCCCTCCCTTCCCTCTCTAAAAATAAGTAAATAAAATCTTTAAAAAAAAGAATATGTATCATTTGAGAGGTTAATGTGTGTTAGCTTCTCCACAGACTATAACTAAGCAAAAGTTTCCTTTCATTCTTTGTGAAATCCTCTGTTAATTGTTCTGGGAAGTCATTGATTGCCTGTTTTTGAGTCAAAATATAAAAGGCTAGACAGATGGCTTAATGTCACAAAGTTGTTGGCTCATATAACTGGATTTTTATTACTAAGTTTCAGATGGAAAGAGAAGAGCTGTGAATAATAAATATAAAGCAAAACCATGTATATTAGATCAGACTATTCTCCAATATTAAAAATATGGTATTGAAAGTTTTGAGTGAAAGATTTGTTAGCATGGGCAGATCAGATCTGAACATGCCTGAATAAATCTAGTCCCCAGTTATAAAGAGAGTGAGATACAAGGGCAGGTTGTGCATAGCCTTGAGAAAGTCACCAACTAACCCATTGCCCATGTTAAATAAAGTACAGAAGAATTCTGAACATTGAGTTACTGTGGAAAATATTCTCTAAGTTTGTTATAGGGAAATAGTCAGAGTGATATAAACAAATATTTATGTTTAAAATAGTCTTTATTTTTATAAATGTACTAATATTTGTAATGAAATAATAAATGATCATTAAAATTATATCAAAGTGTATTCACTTCTGTGTATCCCCCAAAATATAAATAAAATGTTATAAAAACATCTTTATATCACTATGATTATTTTCCTGTTAATAAGCTTTGGAAAAGCACTTTTCATAATACTCTGATGCTTGAAATATTTCTATATAAGCTTTAATGTTGTTAATTGGTTAAAAGTGTCAATAGGTCATACACAACAAAAAAACAACACAAAAAAGAAACTTTCCCCCTCTAAATGCATTTCTTTGATCCTCCATCTGTCTTCTTACAACATATATTAAGGTACGTGAGGTGGAAGGATGAGCACATTGGATTGGCTATATTATACAATATAGCCAATTTTTTTTCTCTAACTTAATTCACATTTTTCCAGTCTTTATTTGGTGAATTATCGTTGCATTTCCTTAAATAAGAATAAAGCAAAAAGTAACAGCAAGGAAGAGAATGCAATTGTATGCATTTGCTTTTAGAAATTCTAAATTTTCCATCTCTGTTTTTTGCAAGGAAACTGATGTAGTAAATGTATGTTTTTTTCATTACCCTATTTGAAGACATTTTGATCTGTCTCCTGAAATTTTCCAAAAATATTAAATTTCTTATGCTTCATCTAGTATATTCTAACATAATTTTCTCAGCACCTGAGGATGATTGTTTTTTCTTTCTTTCGCTCCTTCGTTAAAGACCATTCTGTTTAGCTTCCACATGAAATTATTTGACATCTTTTTTTTTCCCAATCATGGCACTTCATACAATTTGTAACCCTTGATCTTTTCCCCTTGACTTCCTCTTAAGTTATCTCCCAGTTGAACTTGTGAGTCAGTCACTAGTGTAAGGGAAGTAGAATGAATGCAGGGAAGAGTTGCTTTCCTGGTAAGGAGCAGGCCTGTGAAAGCTCTCAGGACTTCCTCCCCAACCCTTAGGCTTTTTCAGTGACTGGAATTGCACAGGCAGTGGAAACAGATGCTGTCTGATCTACATTTTTTTGGCTCAGGATAAAGCGAGCAAAGGCTAAGAGAGTCATGCTGTTTTGCCAACTGACATACACACTTCAACTTTCCAAAATATATTTGGGAAAAAGAGCAAATTATCAAGCTTGGTGGTGCTATGGAAGCCACCGTTCCCTTTGGTTAGGGGAGCAGAGAGAATGGAAAATAAAAAGCCAGCTAGATGACCAGTTTACAGTTAGCAGACAGCTAATCTTTACCATGTCCTGCCACTGCTTTTTAAATTCCATTTCTGTGAACTTTAAATCTGTGTGCAAAACACATTTCCAAAGAGTCCTTTGTTGCTATTGCTGCCCTTCATGGTAATGGAAGAGTTTCCTGAGAATCAGCACAGGTGGCCAGAAAAATCCAAGTTTTATTCTGAGTTCTGTCTTTGATACTTCTGTGTCCTTGAATGAATCATTCTTAACTTCCGAGTCTCAGTTTCTCCACACACATAACCAGTATATTATTGTACTATGACTCATGCTACTAATCTCATATCAGTGACAACTGAATGTTTGTGTATGACTTTACAATGGAGAATACCTAATTAATTAAGATTCCTCTGTGGCTGATAAGCTTTCCCATTAAATACACGATAGACATGATTGGCTAATAGCTGTCAAATGTTGTATTAGTAAGCTGGTAATGACAGCAATTAAAAGTTATTTGGTTTTGAAGATGTTTCCAAATAAACCTAGCAAAGGTCCTGAGACTGTAGGATATAATCTGTTGAAAGATGTCGAGAGAATAAGAAACAGTGTCCCTCAGGATACAAGCTCTGACATCACTCTTCACCAGGCCCTTGGTTCACCAAGCTACAGACAGAATCAGGAGAGTGAAGATTTTTTTTTTTTTAAATTTACAAGCCTTGCTCCAGCTCTTCAGCTCCATCTACTGCAGCGCCTTAATAGTTAACAAGATTTCTAGTTTGTTAGTTTATATTGTTCATTAGATTTCACATATAAGAGAAATCATATTGACTGGCTTATTTCACTTAGCATGATGTGTTATAGAATTGTACCCCTGAAATCTATATAGTTTTATTAATCAACTTCACCCCAATAAATTCAATAAAAATTAAAAAACAAATAGTTGAGATTTGAAAAAGTAGTATTTAGACCAGGGATAACTAACTGGCTGGCTCCTCATGGGATGAAACAAGCTAAAAGGCACATGTTATTGTAAGAAGATTTGTTTCTGTTTTTTTTTTGCTTGGTTATGTTATGAGATGTGAGAGCAAATGCTCTGAATATCTGACTCTGTTTCCCTGGCTTTACTGACATATTAGGATAGGGGTGTCAAACTCATTTCAACCACATCAGCATCGTGGTTGCCTTCAAAGGGCCAAATGTAATTTTAGGACTGTATAAATATACTGATAACTGCTCCTTAACTAGGGGCAAGGAGGTCTACATTTGGCCCTTTGAAGACAACCATGAGGCTGGTGTGGCCCCCCTGTGAAAATGAGTTTGACACCCCTGCCTTAGGGGCTTACCAGCTGTCCTGTCAGTTTCAGGTCTGCAATTCCCAGCTTGAAGGAAGGGCCAGCAAGCAGTGAGGAAAGCCACATGTGGAACAAAGTCAAGGTGGCAAGATTACCTGTGTTCCATCTGAGAAAAAAGAGATGAGAAGAGCAGTAGTGGGGATAGGAGTTTTAGTTAGGTGAGTTTAGAAAATGTATTTGCAAAAGAGTTTCTTAGGTTGTTTAATCAACTGAAAAACTCTCAACCTCTATGAAAACATCATCATATTTAATTTTCTACTACCCTTTGAAATTAGGTTTAATTTGTGGTAAGAAGAATGGGATTTGAATATAAAAACACAACCCCTTCATCCTTTCTCCTGTTGCATTGTTCCAGAAGACAGTATCTATGTGATATTCCAAACAAATGGCCTTTGTTAAATTGAATGTGAAACTTACGGTGATTAGGGAATTCTAATAAAAAACAGGACTGATATTCATATCTTTATTGTTTAACTCTTTGTTTTTCCTTGAAATGCCCTTGGAAATGTAATCTTTCATTGAATTGAAAATAAGAAACAGTCTGTTTATAGCTAAGTGACACAAATTGTCAAGATCTAGAATAAAAAAACATTCTTTTTTCAATTATAATTTGTATTTAGTTTTTAAAGATTTTACTTATTTATTTTTAGAGATAAGGGAAGGGAGGGAGAAAGAAAGA